GTCATTTTCTATCATTCAGTCATTCAGTCACTTTAGTCACTCCAGTCATTCTCCAGTCATTCAGTCAATCAGAGTCATTTTATCAGACAGCCTTATCGGAGTCACTTTTCAGCTTTATCAGAGTCATTCAGAGTCAGTTACAGTCAATCAACGTCCATATAAAGGTTCAAAATCTCAAATCTAAAAAAGTACTACAAAAATGTTTTATGACTAGTTTATTAGAAAACTGTTTTTTAGCCGTCACTCAACAACGCTCGTCCAGTATCAATAATACAAAATGCCCTACTTAACGGTAAAGGTTCAAATCTCAATTCTCAAAATATATTACTAAAATTTTTTAGACTAGTTTTTTAGGAAACAGTTTTTAGCCGTTACTCAACAGCACTCGACCAGTATCAATGCTACAAAATGCCCTACTTATCAGTGAAGGTTCAAAATCTCAAATCTGAAAAAGTATTACAAAATATTTTATGACAAGTTTATTAGAAAACTGTTTTTTTTTAGCCGTCAATCAACAACGCTCGTCCACTATCAATGCTACAAAGTGCCCTACTTATCAGTAAAGGTTCAAACTCTCAAATCTCAAAACATATTACCAAAATATTATATGATTAGTTTTTTAGGAAACAGTTTTTAGCCGTTACTCAACAGCACTCGACCAGTATCAATGCTACAAAATGCCCTACTTATCAGTAAAGGTTCAATATCTCAAATGTCAAAATATATTACTAAAATATTTTATGACTAGTTTTTTAGGAAACAGTTTTTAGCCGTTACTCAACAGCACTTGATCAGTATTAATGCTACAAAATGCCCTACTTATCAGTGAAGGTTCAAAATCTCAAATCTGAAAAAGTATTACAAAATATTTTATGACAAGTTTAATAGAAAACTGTTTTTTTTTAGCCGTCACTCAACAGCGCTCGTACCAGCTTTATCTGTGTAACTCAGCCAGAGTCACTTTATCGCTCTATCTTTCAGTCAACCACAGTATGCCTCACATTATACTCCTATCAGCCCACTTATCAGTAAAAAAAGTCTATTATAAAACTTTAGTTAGATAGTCTTTTGTGCCAAAACTGCTGTGCTTCCTACTGTGCTTCCTGATGTGAAATCTTCTATATTGGTGCACATATCATTTAAATTGTTTAGTTTTTGTAGTTAGTGGAATTAAAATTCTCAAATATTTATTATTGATTTGAGAAAATTGGCTCGATTGAAGCTAATTGGAATTGTTTTTCGGATCCACTCGTGTAATCTTAATTATGGGCCCAAATGATAAAAGTTTTGGCTGTATAAATTGACCAAATAAATGCTTACACTCAAAACGAGCTCATGACTATCAAAATGCGGTGTTCTTCTCCTTTCTTGAAAACTCTAGAAGGGTATCGTCAATCCTCATTTCATTAACACACTGTTCATACCTCCTTTTCCCTTCTATAATTATGTCAGAATTTGCCGGTCCAATATCAGAATTTCTTGGGGTTTCAATTGATCGCTTCAATGGTGAGAACCTCAAATATACAGTTTATTTTCTTCCGCACTGTCATACAGATCACATGGTGGGCCTCAATGTGCCTGAGCTCTTCGAAAAATTAAAACACTATAACTTGAAAGTTTTTTGTCATAAAGTTTTGGCTGCTTTGTTGAGTGCATTGCCGCTTTATGTTAATTTAACTCCATATATAATACCTCTGGATTCAGATAATGAGAGAACATTGAATGTTTCATTGGACGGGGACAAAACTCATACCTTGACTGTCACTTTTATTCCTGCAGGTCACTGCCCAGATTTAGTAATGTTCTTACTAGTTTCCAAAGTAAAATCAGTTCTTCTTACTGGCGATTTCAGATGGCATGTTGGTCATACGAAGCGAATCAATCATCTTTTCGAAAATTTAAAAGAAGCTGCGGTTCATAATTTTGATAATATTTACATCGACACAACGTTTTGCAAAACAGATTCCAATTTCATACCTTCTAGGGAGAGCTGTCTTTCAGCCATCTTTCAAGCCGTGTCCGCATGTCTCTGTTCATTTCAAAATAATGTGGTCCAATTTTATAACACAACTCGCTACGGTTATGAGTTTTTGATGAAAGAGCTTGCATTTAGATTCAACACTAAAGTTCACGTTTCATTATGTCATTAGCAACTGTACAAATTTGTTCCCTCCATTCAAAATTGGCTCACCATAAGGTGGCGAAAGTACCAAAATCCATTTCTCCAAGCCGTCGTCTGCGTCTGCGAACCAAAAACTGCCTCGCAAGCCGGGCATCCCAAGTGCAGAAGTGCTTACAATCATTCCAACTGCAATGTTTTTCACTAAAAACGAGATAATGCCTGGGAGATTTGTTAAAGCAGTGTCTTAGAGAACCATTCGGTGCTGTTGATCTTCGCACTCTTCAGCTGACGAATTAATTGATTTCCTTTGGAGTCTGCAGTTCGAAAGTATTACACCCTTCGTTTGTCCGGATAAAGATACTCCACTTGACTCTGTGAAAGCTTTCATTTTAAATTCGCTCAAACATCAGAATCCAAACACGTCAAACGATTCGAATACAATGTTGTGGAAAGAGAAAATTAAATTCAATATGAGAGGTAAACGCAAACTTCATCTGGTAAACGCAAACCCCAGACTACGAATACCATAGTGAGCCATGAAGACAAAAAAGACGCTTTGTCGAAGGTGGAGTTTTCGAGTGAAAGGATTCAGAAACAGCAAAAACAGCCGAGGAGACAAATATTTCAATAAAACCACAAGACTATGAATACCATAGTGAGCCATTCAGACAACACAGACGCTTTGTCGAAAGTGGAGATTTGAGGAAAAGGATTCAGAAAGAACAGAAATTTTGATCCAATTGCTCAACAAAATTTAAAAACAATATTTTACTTTTCGTACTGTATTTTTTGGTTACCGCTTGTATAAGTTTTTCTTTTCAGTTTTAAATAAAGCTTTCAAAAAATACAATCGAGTCGTCCTTTTTCTCGTCTCAAATGCTGATGAAAGCGATGATAATTTCTGAACCATCTCATCTCAAAAACTGATGAGTGCGCTGATAATTTCTGAACCATCTCATCTCAAATACTGATGGGTGACTTAGCTGCCTTTTCAAACTGAATTATCTCATCTCAAATACTGATGATTATTTCTTAACCATAACTGAACCATCTCATTTCAAATACTGATGGGTGACTTGCCCCCATTTCAAACTAGAACAGCCATTTCAAACCGCATAGTTAACCAATGTTTTAAGATTGGTTTGTGGATTCCGCTGACAAATGGGTATGTCCTTTTGCGTTCTAATTGCACGTTCCTATAGATAATAAATCAAATCTTCCACCTCTAGCTTTCAATTGTTCATTGTTCATATGCAAGTTCAGTAATAAACAAAAATGCGGAATCCCTTTACAATTTGCGGAAACCACTTACAATTGGCGGAATCCGCTTGCTTTTGCGGATTCCGCATACAAATTTTGCGGATTCAACGTACATTTGCGGATTCCACTTACAATTTGCGGAATCCACTTATAATTGCGGAATCCAGATCAACTAGCTATATTTGCTTGTTGCGGAATCCGCAACAAAACAAATGTGCCGACAAAACTTACGCTACAAGTATATGTATGCGAAACCCACTGAAATTTTGTTTGTGGAATCCACTTACATCTTGGAACATATTTAAGACTTGTCTCTGGAATCCAGAGACATACAGACACAAAATTGTGCTCCTATCCAGTGCACAGTTTGGCCTCGTAATGGCATTGTCTGATTGTCATGAACGAAAAAGAGCCGATAATAGTGATTCCAGAGAATTGCAAAGGAGCTATCGATAGGCCTCATCAGACCTGGCTATGACTAGTCCGTTTTTACTATAGACTAAGTGAAATTCTTTATCCGATTGAGTTTAAAATTAAAGAAAACGTCAAAATTTTGTTCACTTTTCAGTTTCACATTGCGAATACTGCATGCGATAATTAGGTGCAGCCACATATTCACTTTCCTTATCTGATTTCTTATATAACGTCATCGTGATGTAAATTGCTGCAAATTTCGTTGGACAAAAATTCTCCAGAACTCTTTCCATTAATTCAAGCGCTACATTCAAATATCCAGATATTCAGGCATAAAAGAAAGGCCACATTTCATGTACCTTGCAAACGGAGCTGGTAAGAATCAGAATCAACCACCTACCGGTCTTCTCCATCTGACTTTTTAAACCCCTTAGGACACCACAATATATAAACACGACACTTCGATAAACATATTTTACCCTTTGAGATTACATTCAAAACCATTTTTTTTCCTTTTTTTTTTTTAGAAATGTCACTTTTCACTTAAGTCGATCAGAACTATGCTAGCAGCACTACTTTCTCAAAATCCCCTCAACCCCTCCTCAAATCATTAGTAAATCCCTGAGTTCAAGTATGCATAAAACTTAAAAACCAGTCGAATCAAACGAATACTGTTTCAGGAAGGCGTATACGAGTATGCTACAAGTATTCTTCTGATTGGGGCATATTCTTTTGAAAAAATGCGAGTATTCTTTTGAAGCGATACGAGTAATGTTTTGAAGGAACACGAGTGTTCTTTTGATTTGGAAAAAGGGAACATCTACAAGGAAAAGGGGGGAATGGGGGAGTGGCGCTCAGCGCTGAACGCGATCAAGTGGATAAATTATGTCATCTTCTAGTTGATTGGAGCTAAGTTTGCTACATTTTTGTCACGACCAGAATAACGTCGAACTCTCTTCCATAACTTATTGTACAAGAAATTATCAACAGAAAATGTTGACCTGCTAGTCTCTTTAATCTTTGATTACAGAAATTAAAAATAAGACAATGTTTATCCACGAGAAGGACAACATACGAATAGTTATTTTATGGAAAACCGCTGGTGTATCCCAAACTAAAATCTACGAGCTTTTCTATTTTTTTTCTGAAAGGAGTAGATTTTTGACATTTCGACTTCGCTGAAGTTAATAGATTTGAGAATGCAAACGATTGCTGCCCTCTTGTCTAAAAACAAACGTGAATTTATGTGCTTCAATTAATCTACTGTCGCATACTACAGCCGTCTCGTGTATTACTTTACGTACTCATTTATAACTTCATTTAAGCAGGTGCTGTTTACCAAGTAAAAATCATAAATTCAATCTGCCAATCATGTTTTTTAGTTATTATGAGTTCGCAGTCCTGTGACTGATGGTACATATGACATTTGTGTTCTAGGCACTCTGTCTCCCCCGATACCTGGATTCATCGAGACCATCCCCGCTGCTTGTGAATAAGCTGGGGGACTAACTCCGTTTCCGACCTCAAATGGTCTCGCAATCCCGGGTCTCTGATTAACGGGATAGGGATCCTGCCGATGCTCCTGCTGGCTCCCCGAGTTCACACTTCGTACTGAGTCGGGTCCTCGGTTTCCGTCATCCGAGTTCGGCTCGTCAATGGACAGACAGTTTTTCAACATACTTTTAGTTGCTCGTTTCCGCTTCGGTTTTGGACTACCATGAATTGTTTGAACCGCTTCGTCAGATAAATCGCTTTCGGATCCAGAACTGTTGTAGACGAAAAGATCTCTCATTTTGTTTTTCAGTGACTTTCGAGGTGATTTGGGTTTTTTAAGAAGCCGAGCAGGGGGGTCAATCATGTTTCCATATTCACTTTCGTTATCAGCATCGTCGTCGCAGTCAATACAAACAAAAAACGAGTTCTCCTTCTTTTTAGGTTTGGGCTCCGGGATTGCACTCAAACCCTGGAACTCTACTTTCTGGACCGGCGGAGGGGGCTCGCCGGATTTACCTTCTTTGTACTGACGCTGGAACTTCTGCAGATCCGAGAGACCCTTTGGAGTTGTGGGACTCATTTGACTATCGTCCAGATTAGGTTGGAAGATGGAGAAAGCCTTCTGACTTCTTCTTTTGATTACAACCTGAAGAAAAAAGATTGTTCTTCTACCTTTTATTTGAACTTGACTTGCATGAACAAACATATGGGCAAGATTATTTGTCACAATTAGCGAAGTTCATCTACCCGATTTTGAAGTTTTACTAATTGTCGCTCTCGACAAATTTTAGACTGAAAATGGTGATGCAAAACCAAACAGACTGCCTCTAAATGCTTTTCATATCAACAAATATAGTTAAAACGTGATTAGTAGGATGGTTAGAACAATTTCGCTGAGTTTGGTTGTTTAAGTTGAAGTTAGTGAAATAACACGTTGCTCTGGGAAGCAGTCAAAATAGTGGAGCGATAAGTTGCTAAAAATAGACTGAAGTTGGGCTACCTTGTCCTGGCTGGTGGAGTAAGTGTCGTCGTTGCCTATCCCACTCCCTGCTATGCTCGCAGCCCCTGCATCCGAACCGAACTTCTGTCTGTAACAACATTACAGTTTCATGATTCACCCGGAATGAGTTTGATGACACGCTTGTCTTTTGTAACGATTTTTGACGTTAAAAATTAGACTCTGGTTTAATAACCTTATTGTTCCGACCATTCAAAAAAGGGAAGAACTTTGTATTCGGGTGTGTTTTATTTTTTTCTTATCGGTTTCCACGCAAAATCAGGTACCACAAATAATGATCGGACTGGGTTGAGTGATTGATCATATTAAAGCCCTTTCAGTCGTGATTTGAACTACATTAAAAGTTTCCAAAAAGCTTTCCCAGTCTCGAGAAAAACCGGTTTGAAATTTTTGATTTTTTTTGTCTTAATTCGAGCGAATAAAGCAAGAGAGCTGGCCTTCAAGCTGAATTATGCCTAATTTAAGACCTTAGACGTTAACTTTAAGCAAATAAAACTAGTTTTTGGAGTTTTTAGTTTCCTTTTGGGAACCAAAAACTTCAAAAAATTCAAAAATGTATTGTAAAATTTTTGAAAAAAAAAAGAATTCTAAAATGTTTTTTAGCTTTTCTAGTCCTTTTGCTACAACAATTTTTGTAGAATTGGCCTATATTACTATGATTGTCTAATATGCCCAAATTTTATTTTTAGGGCAGATCCTTTTATCACACCAAGCAGAAAAAACTACACATTTGGAAAAAAAAAACTTTCTAAACCGTAGTTTTCTAAAGACTATGGTCGAAACATTCTGTGCTACTTGCACAGTAACCGGCTATCTTTGTTTATTTTGTTTTTGAATGAAGATGATATAAATTAGCAATCTGACTTCAAATTGGCTTCTTTGAAATACTTCTTCACAATTTTTTCTACATAAAATGCGATTGGCGATGAGGTGTTATGAGACAAAAAAAGAGAACTTTTGTGATATAATAATAATAAATGAGAAGTTGGTTGAGCTGACTACCTCTCTTTGTGATTGTAGTGTTCGGCCTTCTTGACGATCTTCTCGTCGTCCTTGAACTCGTCCCACAAGTTAGCTATGATCTCACTGGCGATGAGACAGTTGGTGTTAATGGCGATCAGCCGGAGCAGGAACACCCCGTCCGGTCGGAGGTAGTCGTGGATGAACACTCGGATCAGTCGCTTAGTAACCCGCACACTGTACCTGTGGGACAAAACCAATTTGAGGTTTTTAAGAAAGTACTTTGTGGCTTTAACGATTTCCTCCGGGCCGCCAAATCTAACAGCAGAAGAAAGATGGAGGCCATCCTTTCTCTCAGCAACTCAGATAATCAATTTAGGCCAGCAATTTTTATGTCAGCAGTTTTTTAGGTTATCAATTTCACTTTTTGGCGCTCATCCACAACCCAAATGGACCATATTTAACTTTTTTTTGCTCCGCCACACCCCATTCAGACAAAAATACAACTTTGAGCAATTTTGAAAATTTTGAGTGTTTTTGAGTTAAATGGGACAATTTAGATAAGAAGTAATTTTTAGGTGCAGGCAGTTTATACGTGATGATAATATTTCTGAATCGTTTTAAGGTTTCTCGCTCGAAAAATAAAAAGTTCTCGTTTAATTTACAACTTAGTTTCAAGCATGAGAGAACGTCATCATTACATCATACCAGTAGCGTGGCGAGGGGGGGGGGGGGCTCTCAACTCTTGTTGCCAGATTTGTTTACAGGGTCTCCAATATAACTAAATTTGGGGACCGTTTTCTCCAGAGGCGCCAATACAATGAAGTTCGAGGGGGGAGCCGAAAGAACGCAATTTTTAAGTCATCTTCCAAAAGTGCTCGAAATTTCATTTTTTGCCTATTTTTTCAAAAGTATGTCCTTATAGTTCTTTCGTAGAGCTGAAGAATCAAATTGGTCGACCAAAAAAAAATGTCGACAAAATTTTCAATTTTCTCTTGTAAACCCCCCCCCCCCCCTCCCTAAAAAACTTCTGCGCACGCCACTGCATCATATAGTTTGTTTTCAAACAAACGTCTCTGTTTTTCAAGTGAGTTTCAACGTCTCTGAATTACCTCCGATTCTTCTCGTCGATCCTCCCCATGAGTGTCAAGTGCTTCATGATGTACTTCTGCCGACTGAAGGCGAATGCGATTCTGTAGATCCACAGAGACAAGTTAGTAATAGTTATAAGCACTACCATCATGATCCAGCAGTAGAGGAAGAGGAAGATCTTCTCGTTGAACAGGTTGATGGGTAGGACACACTGGATGCTGAACTTCTGGTTCTGCCCAAGAGCTCTCGTCTCGAAGTCGCACATGGTCACTCGGGGGAAGCTGGGCGAGTTCTCCCAGTTCGTCCCATTTCTCAGACTCCTTTAAACAAGAGTCTTCAAAATCCGGAAAAAATTGCTTGAGATTTGATGATAGTTTCATTGGGACAATTTCTTTCGATACTTTTGAACGCATAGCAACGCATTAAAAGAAAGTATGGCTTTTTAAGTTTGTGATATGGTTTGATTTCTTAATTTATTTCGAGAATTAATTTTAAAAAGGTACAATTATTACCTGTTCTAATTAGCTTTTAGTGTTGTTAAATAGTTTTAAATTAAAAACAGGTTTTTTAGGATTTGCCAGTTATGTGGTAATATTTTTGGACTAACCTCAACACCTGTAGAACGTATGAAGATGTAAAGAGATTGTAGTAGTAGCCCTTCATAGTCCAGTTCTGAGCCTCAGCACCTCTGAGGAAAGAGTCGATCCAGTAGAGTTGGGTGATGCCCACGGCGATGTAGAGACACTTGATGATGAGGTAGATCAAGGTCACTTGGAGACCGTACCTTCTGCCGATGTAGAAGGCGAATGTCTTGCACTTCTTAGTCACTGACTTCCTGGCTTCAAAGAATGCCGTCTCTCTGTATTCGGTCGAGTTGCACAGATACCTGTTGTGTACACAAACGAATGAAGTGTGTCTGGACATGGGAGGACGATTTCGTAGAACATTCAACATCGAAATTTCCATCATAAAATATTTGATCAAGTGTTCCGACGTCAGCATAAATTTGCCTCCAGCACCCTAACATTTGATTCATTCTTATCAAAAATGTGTCTTGATAAAAATATTACAAAACCAGGGTGCTTTCGAAATAAGTTATTAAGACTTTTTATTACTTTTTGAAAGAAGCATTCAATTTGTGTTGCCACAGAAGACTGCCTCTTTCGCAGAGGCCGCAGAGGTTTTACAGTGTTTCGAAATTTAAGCTCTACCTGTGAATATGCTTGGCGACCTGTTGCACCGCAGGGTCACGTGTCTCAGGGTTGACCGCATTGTCGAACGAGGTCAACAGGTCAACAATGGCATTGATGTCGACAAAGTGGTGGCTGAAGACGTTGAACCAGACTGCACGGGGGAGGTAGAAGCACATGGCCAGCCACATGAAGAAGAGGGGGATCCACTGGTAGTAAGTGATGCTGTACGTCAGCCCCTCCTCCCGCCCCTTTTCCACTGTCACGTCCATGGGCAGGTAGTAGGTGTTCTTGATGAAGCACAGGTTGTTCGCATAGTCGATCCACGCACCCGCGAAGTACGTGGGAGTCCAACATCTGCACACAGAAAATAACAACATTTAACCGTTGTTTTAATAGTGAAATCATTTTCGGCTTATCATTGTCACTATTATTATTATTATGATTATTATTATTATACCATGATACTTCGCAAAGTTGTAGAGCAACTACTTTTTCGGAGAAATCCCACGAGGTAAATCAAAAATAATAGTGATTTTTTTGATAGAAATGATGCTATTTTCCAATCATGCAAAATTATATCAACATGCTCATATAAAGTTGTTAATTTTTTCAGGTTTTCTGAACATTCTACATGTTATTATATTTCATGCAAGATGAGAATTAAGTTTAAATCGATCACCTTTCAGGGGCGTTTAGAAATCGGATATCTCCTGATAAAAAATCGGTTGCTTCTCAAAACTGATATGATTGCCCGAGCAGAGATAAATTTTTCTTAAGATTACTCTTCTTGTACCGCAAATAAGGGGCTGATTTAGGACTTTCTCTTTAGGATAGAAGGGTTAATTTTTTGAAAAAGGGCGATTCTTATTCAAAAAATTTTGTCCAGGTTTTTCTAAAGTGGACCAAATTGATTTTCCGAGCTCTCCCAAATCAATGAAAAAGACTTAAAGAGTTAATAGAAAATAGAAAACGCGCAGTTCAATTTTAATTTTTTGATTCTGTTTTGGCATTCTATCAAATTAAAAGACTTTTGTTTGCAACTTTGCTTGATTGAGTCTTACTGGATGACGTCACCGAATGCGGTGTACCACGTGATGAGGAATGCGCCCATGGCCATGAGACTGGAAGTGTATCTGTAGTTCAACTTGTCCGCAAAGTCATCGTCATGCTTCTCCGCACTCTTGCTCACGATGCTGAAGATCTTATCGATCATCTTGACTCACTCTCACACAACTCACTCACTCACTTGATCATGCAAATGACTCACGAGTAGTTCAATCGCTCACGATGACGTAATTGCCCTGATGGTTTATTATGAAACAAAATCAAAATAAATATTTTTTTATTGTTTATTTTTTGAAGTTAGTTTTGGTTAAGTGGACGTGCTACAATATCTCAAAAAGGATTCTAAGTAACGGGAAAAAATTAATATGACAAAACATTTTTATAGCAGATTTAGGATAAATGTTAAGCGGCTGGAAGTTTTCTGGTAACGGATAGGCGGATGGACCCAAAAACTTGAAGATAGTTTGAGATCCATCCAGCATTTAGCCGAAGATTACAACTCATGCTTTTGGAACAGTTCAGCATTTTATAGAGTGACACAATAAAACAACGCATGCAGACTCCAAACTTCAAATCAATACTACCATGCAGTGTTCATCATCATTATTGAAAAAAGCATCATGAATTTAGAAGAAACTTTTGTTGCTGTCATCAATACAACACGCATGGATGTCAACACAAGTTCTGGTAAAAAAGTATTTGAATATGGCAGCGTATTAAATTACACTCGAAAGTCTATAATGTGTCTATAATGTGCGAAGTCTTCAGTGCTTTTAAATTACAGAGAAGTTACCGACCGAACTCCGAAAGTCTGCGTACAGACATAGACATCGCAAGATTGAAATGCACCCAAAGGAACACCCATAAAAAATACTGAGACAACTCATCTAGTTCTTCATGGAGAAACGTTCGTAATTAATGCGCATTGGTTGTAGTTGCTCCGAGTTTTACAGAAAATGTGGAACATATATGCTGGGTTCTTTTTGTTTGTTCTATTTAATGTGACCAGTTTTGACTATGTAAATAATTTTTATACTAAAATTTTTAAGCCTCATTGAAGATTTGGACTGCGGGGTTCAAATGAATTATGATATCTAACCTCCAACTAAGATTAATATCTAAGTTTTAATATTTAAGATACCTAAAGTTTAGGGTTAAAAATGAGAATTTGGCCATATTCTGGACTAACTTCAAAGAGCTTTGAATATTTTTAATGCTATAGAATGCGTGACGAATTACCCAGCTGTAACAATCTTTTATCGTTTCAAGTTGAAAGAAAACAGCTCCTATCTAGGCAAAGTTCCTATTGCTCCCTAATTTCTAAGCACTAATAGTTCCGAATTTCGTTGAAAGTTAAGAACATATATGACTGGGGTAGTTTTTTTTTACTTGAGCGAGTATGTTGCACTGAAATAAAATGCGAATGGCGTCGCTGCTTGAGTAGGAGTATAATATGATAGTTTCGAATTATTTATGCGTGGCAACTTATTCGCACTCATAATCGTTCCTGACTGAAATGAGGCCAACTACAATTGATCATAATAATTCTACTCAAATAATAGAACAGCAAAAAATTCAGCAGTCTTTCGAACAACAACTATTTCAGACCAATTAAGAGGCAGTCGGAACAGTCAGGGTTTTGCCCTGATATGCGAGCAGTCTTGTTTAGCATAGCATCTTTTCGAAAAGTTTGAAAACTATATGTTTTTTTTTCAGAGATATTGAACTTTTCAAAGAACATCTTCCCCTCCACAATTGATATCAAAACTACAATATAGTTTTGAACTTTATCACAAAAACTCTCACCCTCTAACATTCGTTATCTTACGTACAAAATGATTAGCTTCTAATATGTTGCTGATAACGAAAAAAGCTTGCCGTAATTCAATTTGGGGGTAACTGAAGAATTTTCATGTCTCGAGCTCAAAACTTAAAAAAGCATCTCAGTAACTATTTCCTCTTTGGAACCTAGTAAAAAATTATCACCCCACGAGAGAAATAATTCATTGATGAATCAAATGTGATTTGTGTGCTTAATAACAAATCCTTTTTTCCAATAGAGGGATATTTTAAAATATCCAAGGAAAAAAAAACATTTTAATAGCGATCATTTTTTGTAAAACAGTCGGTTGGAAAATTGTCGAATATGCCTAATTTTTTTTTCAATTTTTTTTTAAAGCACACAAAAAAATGAGCCTAATTTGAAAAAAAAATAATTGTGTTTTTGTAAAGACAATAGTCGAAAACTTTTAATTAGTGATTTCCTAATTGACATCTTAGGCAGTTTTCTTTCATCTGAAACATTTGGGTTGCGTCATCCGCAAGTCGAACTACTTTGTCGAATTTGTATTATTGGAACTTTTTGCAAAACTTTTGCTGGGATGTTCTTCGAAACCATTAAAATAGCGAAGGTTGTTTTTTTCCAAACATCACAAATCATGATAGAGTTTTAAAACTGTCATTTTTAACAAGAAACCTAATAACATTTTAAAAACAAAGAAAAGCCAGCAACAAACTATTTATTTAGTTCTAAGTTTTTTGTTTTTCTAATGAAGGGCGACTGAATTAAATGAATATTTTTGGTACCTCAAATTGTCTAGAGAAAAACGCACTCTAAGAAACACTCTGTAAAAATTGGAGTGACAATAACTTGTCTCTCTTAAATTATGGGCTAAAAAACAGGAAAATAGAACATTTATCAAAACACTTAGAGTCCAACAATATAAAATTAGGGGTTGAACATGCCAAAGTAGAACAGTGCGAAACTGATCAAGAACTCAACAGTGTCCAATGCTGCTCGTTTTTGAAGGTTTTGAGTTCGGTCCATAAATTTTGAGTTTGGTTTTTGTAAAAATTGATACATAATTACGATACATGATACATGATACAACATTGTGCTCTCAATCCAGTTTGAAAGTAGTTTCATAAGTTCAAATGATAAAAAAAGCTATGAATTTTTAAACTATTTCATCGCCAGAGCTGTACAGCAACTTGCCTAGCGTTAGAAACAGCTAGGCAAAAATCCCAGTTAATCTAAATTGAGACTCGACCTACTCCCATCTATCAATAATTAATAATAAAGTCGTAAACTTTTTTTGCAATAACATCTGTGGCAATATCGAGCTTCCGTTTGTGGTCAAGCGGTCAGGGAGAGTTTACTTTTGATTCGCAAAGCAAGACAAGCCTGCTTGTATCAGTACAAAGCCCTAAATGTTCCGACTGCATTTTCAATTCTATGGAGTAGTTTACATTACAAAAATTGTTGAAATTTTCAATAAAAAAATGAAAAAAAATTACAAACATTACATGCTATGTAAAGTACAAAGTGATACAAAATTTGCAATTAGCTAAGTATTTAAAAAACAAATGATTTGTAAGACGGATTAAATCTCCGCTCACGCGTTGATAGCAAGAAACATATCGCTCATTAATTGTCCCTAATTGGCCAAATTGGCAGTTTTAAACCCCCATAACTTTACAATAAAAGATCACAAGTAAATTAATTTTTTTTAATTTGAGCTCATCAAGATAATAGCACCTTTCAAATGATATGAAAACTCCATCAAAAATTCCTAGTTGAAATGTCGAAATATGCCTGGAGTGAAAAAACCATTCCGAGCACAAATATTCCATCATTTTCGGAAGAATAAACCAATGCTTTCCTTTTTTTCTCATAATGATACATCTGTTAACATACGACTTGAACGTATCTCTAATAGTATAATTTGACGCTGACGGTGGAATACGATGTGAATCATATAGCGAGTTCATTATCACACTTTGAATATAATTTGTCAAAAAGTCCTAAATTCAAACCCGCATAACTTTGTGAAAGTCGCCGCAGATAAAATATCTTTTTGTTCCGACCATTGAAAATGGAGAGGAACTTTGTAGTTGGGTGTGTTTTAGTTTTTTTTTTCAATTTTTCGTTTTCCACGCAAAATCAGCTACCACAAAAATCATCGGACAGGATTGATTGTTATATCATATTAAACTCCTTTCAATCGTGATTCGAACTCTCAGTGTCGAGAAAAACCGGTTTGAAATTTTTCTTTTTTTTTGTCTAATTTCGAGCAAATTAGTAAGGTAGCTACTAATTGCAATAGCTTATTTAAGCTTAATTTAAGCCAGGAAAACTTAGTTTTACTCAATTAAAGGTAGTAATAAAGATAAAATATCTTTTTGTTCCGACCATTGAAAACGGAGAGGAACTTTGTAGTTGGGTGTGTTTTAGTTTTTTTTTCAATTTTTCGTTTTCCACGCAAAATCAGCTACCACAAAAATCATCGGACAGGATTGATTGTTATATCATATTAAACTCCTTTCAGTCGTGATTCGAACTGTCAGTGTCGAGAAAAACCGGTATGAAATTTTTCTTTTTTTTGTCTAATTTCGAGCAAATTAGTAAGGTAGCTACTAATTGCAATAGCTTATTTAAGCTTAATTTAAGCCAGGAAAATTTAGTTTTACTCAATTAAAGGTAGTAAAGGTAGTAACGCAAAAATTTTCTGTCCTTTTCTAGTTCTTGTTCTTCAAAAATTGTTTTCGAATTGACTTATTTTACTTTGATTCTCAAATTTGCCTAATTTCTATTATTTTTTCAGGTCTTTTTATCACAAAAAGCAGAAAAAAAACAACACCAAATTGAGAAAATTTTTTTGTATTTTCTAAGACTGTGATCGGATCATTCTGTGCTACTTGCACAGTAAACGGCTATTCTTATTTGATTTTGGAAAGAGTTATCCCTTTTTAATAGACGATATTAAACGTTTTTTCAAAAATTGCCAGTAAAGAAGTCGGAAATTGCTTGGAGAAAAAAAAGCTAGCGAGAAACAATAATCAATGACTTTCTTCGACGGTCGGAAAAACAAAAACGCAAATATCGAGACAAATAGCTGATTACTTCAATTGCCCGATTGACTTATTTGTATAATTTTAGCCACAGCAATCTTTTCAAAATTTGTTATATTTCTTGGTAACAGGCGAATATTTTTAACAAGCGAAAACTCTTAACAAGGCATCGGCAAGCAGAATACCCTTGCTCCTCTTCGCTCCGCTGCGCTTGCATCCGTCACGAAAAGAGTAGTTCGCATAAATTGGCGTTTGCCGCTTGAATTTTTTTGGCTGGTTGATGTTGCTTTGCCCTCAAGCAACAAACAGGGAACATGCTGGGGCTCAAAGTATAGACCTTAAGATTGACAGAGGAAGAAGTCGATTATTCTACTACCAATTTGGAACATTTTATTTTTAAAACCTTGTCCCTGGATTCCAGAGACCTAATCCCACCAAACGGTGTGCGTATCCACGGAACAGTTAGTCCTCGTAATGGCCTTAAATTACTAACTGTATTCCGTCCATGACGTAATATCGGCTGATGACAGCCAGAGCACAGAGTAAGTAGATGCCACTGGTGTATCTGAAGTTGAGCTGGTCCGCGAAGTCATTGTCACTCCCGGGCGCACTCTTAGACACTGTCTTCAGTGCCTTCTCAAATAACATCTTCTTTTTTCCGATTTTTTTTCAAACAATTTAAAATCCGGTCTGGTTTCACTGTTGTTTTGTGTGATGATAACTTGTCAAAATGAAGTTGATTAAATCTAGTAAAAATCAGCAAGTCAATCGAAACTAAATAGGGAACTGGTGGAAGTGTAAATTTTAGAAATTTTAGATGAAGAAAGATAATCACAAAACTGCCTAAAACATTTAGCTTAGATCATGGTTTTTCTTGATGAACTGAGTTAAATAGTGCAAATTGATGTTGTTTCGCTTTCGAAAATCGGGTAAGGTGCTATGTTTTGGACGACAACGAAGCTTAAACTAGATTCTGATGGATATGGAAAGGCGTTCAAAAACAAAAATGATGAGGAAGTTTGAAAGATTGGATGAAACTTAGATGGATGAGAGCATTTTAAAGTGACTTCAGATCTACTATTTCATGGTTATACTATCTTGAAGTGGAAACGACGTTTTATAAGATAAAAACAACAAAAATCCATACAAACAAAAAATATATAGTCAAGAACTTGAGTTGTATCACCTAATTTTGTGTACAAGAATATTTGTTTTGATTAAGTATCGACTCCCAAGATTAAGAATCGTATGAATCAGTATTTATGACTTGGTGCAGCTTTATAACCTTTGATTCGGTATATCAAAAGTGAAGTTTGAATATGAGACAGAAAAGAAATGTAGTTACCCTTAGATTACGGACTTAAGACAAGACTTAACCATATGTATGCGAAGTTTTCACGTTTCAGGAAAACAAAACGTCACAAAGAACTGAAAGTTTTCATTTACTCATACCTGAAAATGTTTCCAAACTTCGTTCCAATTGGTGAAAACTTCAGTTGTTCAATTTGTTGAAGTCTTCGAATCTGTGTGGAATTAGCCCGTTCGCTCTCTCTTTTATGGATGGGGATTAGCACTGATCCCAATCCTACGCTCAAATAAAGATCTCAAACCAAGTCTCCCGTTGTGCCCTTATTTCTCCCAACCAAATCGTCTAACGGTCCAAACTAATCCAACACGCCAACAACACTACGTTTTCCGGAATTGGCCCTGAATCACTGGATATTTCTTGCAATGCGCTGCAAAAATTGAATTTAAAATTCCGATATTTCGACGATATTAAACTAACGGTCTAATTCAGTTTCTGAGTCGGCAGAAGTTTTGGTCTATTTTAACAGCAATTTTTTTCACTATGAACTGAGAACGATTTTGGTTACAGTTCAGATTACGAATACTTGAATACTAGTCATTGTACCAAAAAAGTAATAGAAAAGCCACAGATAAAAACGTTACTGATTCAAGCTCTTTCAAAGCTTTTCAGATATGAAACCACTGTGAAACTAGTAGAGCTGCATGTAGTTTAGAGATATGAAAATTTTTAACGTTTAAGACATTTAAAATCCAAAATGCATGATTTTTAATGAAGCTATCATTAAGACGCTACGTCTTTTTTATAAAGTGCATTACAACACGAAGCTGTAATTGAACGTTACAGCATGCGTTTTTCACTTCAAATTTGATTGTTCAAAATTATGTAAGCGTCGCATTTGTTTTTACGAGGCTTCTGAGTTGACGAATTTTGTTTAAATCTGAGATGCGGTTTCACTTTGCATGCAAATTTTACCTTGATGCAAATTAAATTATAAAAGACTGCTCGTATAAGGGCGAAACCCTGAATGTTCCGACTGCCTTTTAAAGTCTATGGAGCAGTAATGACACGAAAACATTAAACGTAATAAAAAAAATGATTTTTTTTTTAATTTGAGAATTTTTGTGAAAATCATCCCCCACACGCCATATAAAACTCAGTGATATATTTCGCTCCTAGTAACAAATCAATTATGGCAACCTTCTTTGAACCCCCATAACTTTCCGAAAAATAATCACAGGTGAAATATTTTTTCAAATTTGAGCTCAAGACAACAATACTTTTCGAATGATATAAAAAAATTCGGTCAAAATGGCTAGTTAAAAAGTCGAAAATTGTCTGAAGAAAAAAAAACCCACCCCGAGCACAAATATTCCGTTACTTTCGTTACGTAAGTCGGAACAATAAGCTGCGATGTACTGTATGCCTTTGAACAGCTCTTCTCAAAGTTCAAAAACGAACAAAAAGCTTTATGGAAAAAAAAAATTTTCAAATATTTGATGAGCTCTCAATTTTGTTTCTTCTTATGACGCTCCTGTTGAAACAGACATGAAATATTCAAAAACTCTTTTGACCGGAGTATTTTAACATTACTGAAGTATTAGAACAAGTGACAACGCTTGAGCGCAACAGATTCTCAACTTAACTTGATAAAGCCTTCTATGGCCAGCCTGAGAAGTGTTGAATTTTTAATCAGCAAAAACAGGCTCTCACCAAACTCGAAAAATTGTTCTGCAAAATTAAGGAAAAACTTCAGAATTGTTAATATTTTTCGGAAATTTCTAGTCAACTTGTTCTCATTTTTGTCTTATTCTTGGAAATTTATCACGCAAAAATCACGGTAAAATTGCAAAAAAAAACTTTTTTTTTACTGAGGTCAAGATTTGTTTTGCTATTTTTGCTATCTCTGTATTTGTTTGCCCATTTGTGATTTTAAGTGTAAATTCTAGGCTAAAAATAAGTGTCCGAAATCTTTTTCAATTTTGTTGTTTTAAGTATAACTTTATGATAGTTTAAAACTGTAAGTGATTTCAGCTTTGTTTTTTATGTTTAATTTTTTTACGACAAATAAGCGCATGGCTAAAAGATTTTGCTTAAGAATTTCAGTTGATAACAACAATTGTGTAAAAGCTCAAAACTTTACAGTTATGAAGCACCACATGATCGAAAAAAGGACAAAATAGCTGGATTTTTTGTGTTCCATTTTTTTCCACTTTCGCTTTTTTTCCAATTCCAGAATGATAGTTGATAGTTTGCAATGCTTTCCTGCCAGAATCTCGCAATTTGTTTGCAACTCAAATTCGAAGTATCATCGTGCTAAAAACTCATTTCCAGAACTTGTTAAAACCTAAGACTCCCGTAGAACATAAGATCTTTTTGTAAAACATATTCAGTATAGGCTTTTGGCTTTTGCGTTGTCACTCGTTAGTGCTATTTCTGTATTTATATCTTTTTTTTTCGTGTATATTATCCTTTAGTTCAAGTTAGTTCGTGTCTAAGAGTGTTCTGTTTTGCCTCAGGTTGCGACATCTATGTCATGTTCATTATTGAAGCAACTTGAAAATTTAAGCGGCCAAGCGTGTCGAAGGTTGTCACTTCGGGTACGTAAATTGGGTTTTGCTTCACATCCAACGGATAGCTAGCGACTCAATTTGCGAAGAATCAAATTAATTGTGAAGGATTTTTCAAAAAAAACATTTAGCATACGGTCATTCAAAGATAACTTCTGATAACAAACGGCGGAAAAAAAAGAATTAAACATCAATGATTTATGTTAAAAGAATAATACTTTTACCACATCAAAACAGTCCAATTTACACCAGCAGTTTTTGATGCACAATAACGATCAACTTCACCGCAAATGGTACTAGATAATGATTTCGATTTAAAAGAGTTCTTCCGGATATTGCTTTCTGATTAAGATATTTTAGAAGGTTTCATTTTGTCCAAACCAGGCTCCAAAATTTGGAAATTTATGTTCCATTGCTTCAGCCCAGTCACTTTCTTCAGGTTTATCCTCTAGAAAATTGTCCTGCTCAGGAACTTTTTCAAATTCTGGTCTTTTGGTGGGTTCATTCAGTTCCCTTACAGGTAGTGTCGGAAATCGAACATTCCTTGCTTCTTTCTTCCTATTTTCAATTTCCTTATTGTCGCTGTTAATCGGTTGCGGCTGCTTTTCTAAGTGCTTTTCCTGATTGATTGGAGTGTTTTGTTTTCGAATCAGAATGTCATTCATTTGTTTTGTAATCTCCTTGAGTTGATGTTTTAGTAATTCATTCTCTTTCGCGAGATCTTTCTTCGGATTTTGTGGACTATCGTCGTCCTCAATCGCTTTTGTTTTCTTAGCTTTCTCATGGCCTATTTCGGTATTCTCAGGCTCAGCATCGCCAAGAGGGTCTCTGACGTCGGGATCCTCTTGAGGAGACTTGCCGGAGTCGTGCGAAAACGATTCTTGATCCAGAGTTGAGCCAGAAACTTCTCCTGGTTTCTGAATCTGAGGAGATGGAGACTCTTTTTCAGGTGTCTCAGCCAAAAACGATTCGGTATTCGGGAACATTCCAGGAGGACTCAATAAACGGATCAGTTGAGTAGGATACGAGAAAAAATTGTCCGACGAAGATATCGAGGAGGGAGTTGAGTCTTCTTCAGAGTTTTTGAGCGTAGAGTGGTATGAAGTTTTGAAGTGTCCAGTCCTTTTGCCGAACATGTCTAGCGGAGTTTCTCCCCATCCTGAACTCTGCCAAGGAGAGTCCTGACCTTTCTTAAGAAAGATCTTCTGGTAAACTGCAACAAAAAAAGTTGGAACCGTTGAGGATGAAGTTAGTTTTCTCCTCTCTTAATCGACCAAGTTAAAATCCCCCAATATATAATTTGAGTTCAAATTGTTCAGCACTGCGTTGAAAACTTCCGATTTGATCTGCTGAAAATTGCGAATTCAACCAAGTTAACATCCCCCTCAAATGCAGAGAAAAAGTTAGTTAATCAGCTCTTGTAAGTTACCGGAAAAAAATTGGACAAGAAGATTTTAATTTCATCAAAAAATGGAAGACCAGATTAGAGAGCTCATTTGAGTCAAACCAGGGGCAAATCTAAAATTTTATTAAAAAATTATCCCGAATTTAATCTAGTGGCACTTTAAATGAAACAAAAATAAATGAAACATTATCGACTGAAAATAGATTGGGACGATGCTATTATACCTGAAGGTCTGTTTTAAAGCACCTCAAGCAGAGGGATTCCGAAAAAAAGTTTTCGGAAAGTTTGATTGGGTCGACCAATGTGACTTTTTGAGGCCTCCCAAATCATTATGAAAACCATACTTTGCCGAAACTTTCTGGGTCACAGACAAATTTTTGAAACAAAAAACAGGCCAAAAACGCTGTTTTTGGACCAATTTTAAACTGAAAAAAAAAGCTTTTTTTTCGGCTGGCGCGCCTCATTCAAATTAAGTGCGAATTGGGGCCAAGGCGACTTTCGATAATATCTTGGTTTCAGCGGCCGTAAAACGGTACCAAATGGGAACATTTTAGATGGGTAGGGGAACGAACCCCTGAGGTCAAAGAACCCCTGAGGAAAATCCTCCCTTTGTGTGAAAGGAAGCGATCGCTTATAATAATTTATGTTAATTTCCAGTCATAAAATTGGTAAATTGAGTTAGGACCGAAGTGTAACTCATAGAGTAATTTCGGATAGGGTACACCGTCTGCTCGTCACGCTATCTTATTTTCGGCCGGATAGATTCGTGCAACTTCTTAGTCTAATACCGATCCTAATCTTACTCTTATACTATCTAGTCTCAGGTTGTTTAACTAGTCTCTGCTAGGCTCAATAGATCTAGGGTATACTGGTTTATTGCGGCTGCTGAAGTGCTCGGGAGAGTCCAACTAATTTCTAAGTTAAATTCAAATCTCTCTGGTGCTGAAATTACAAGTAACTTCAGCACTTACAAATAAGTGGGTTGTTAGTTAGATGGATCATGATTGGTTAATATTAAATACTTTACATTGGTAAAACATTTAATTTATCCAATCATAAAATATAGTTTAGATCAGGTTCCACCCATCCGGGTTTTACAGAGTTTTTTAGAATAGTTCTTCTGTAATTCAAGGATGGATGATGGACGTTGGTATTTGGCGAACATCATAATTTTCTTCCGCTTCTTCTTGTGACAACGACAAATCAATTCTGATTTCAGAATGGTTGGCTATGTCAGGTTTTTCTGTTCTTCGGGGAGAACTTCTTTTGTGTCTGATCTAGCTTGGGAATGGCGTGGAGATTGTGCGTGGAGGGGATGCCTGGTTACTCGGATCTGTACGTATACTTGAACATCGAGGTGGTCATTGGTCTAGTTCAATGAAGTCCTTTTCTGCGAAGTCAAGTCGTACTCTAAATCCTTTGAGTTGTGATTGTGAGCGGCATATCGATTGTAGTTGGTCATTCTCTCTCGAGTGTAGTGGGGTCGTCTTGTCTTTTGATGTTCGTCCTTGGTGTTGTATTCTGATCTATATATTGCATCATGTGATTTTACATTTTATAAAACTTTTATTAGTTTAATATTTTTTAATAATGATTTTAGTTAGTTGTTTTCACAAAAGCTTTTTGTTTTAGTTCGGTTATTTTGAAGAGTTACTCACCCTTGAGTAGCTCTTATTAAAAATAAAGGTGTGGTCACAAAGCGTGGATGTAGCGCGGTGGGTTAGGCCGGCTATAGAGCATGCTCAGGACGTCCTTTCCTGGTGGGTTAGGCCAGGAGTGGGAGTATGATTTCATGCGGTGTTTGTGAGGGGTCCTGTTATGTGACAACGTTTTATGTTGGGTTTGTTGTGGTTTTACTTATGTCTTGTTGGTTATGTACTTTTTCCAAAAAGCAAATTGTTTGTGGTATGGGTTTGTCTTTCGACTTTTTTGTGTTTTATTATTTCTTTCTAAGACTTTGTAATAGTCTTCAAAAGAATAAATTATCCAGTTTTAAACTGGGTTAATCCGGTTTGGGTACCGTTGGTTTCCTTTTCTTAGTCATGCTGTTATTCTATGATTTGTGGTATTTAGTAAGCTGCGTTGGTTAGTTTTGTTTAGTATATGATTCCTTTCCAACCGGGTTAAAGGAAAGTTTGAAACATGTTATTGTATGTTAGAGTTGTTGAGTGTGAAAACTTGAAACTGAAATTCATTATTTTAAACAATTCTTCGTGGGCGAGCTGTGCGAGTGTGGATAGAATTTTTGTGCGAATGAATGAAAATATCAAAAGGTTAGTACTGCAATTGCATTTTATTAACTTACTACATAGAATTTAGAATTTTACTGCTAGTTATGGGGGAATGTTAAGATACAAATTTTCATCATATGTAGATTTACTGCTTTTGGGGGGAAATTTTATAAATTAATTTACTGCATTGGTATTATATTTATTTAATTGTTGGTGCAAAAGTTTAATAGGGTCTTAAACAGTTTTGAAGAAGTTTGCTATTTTTTATTTTTCTTTTGTGAATTTTTCAGATGATCTAGGATGAAGGCTAAAAATCTAAAGAAAACATGAATAAAGAATGGTGAGTTTTTAATACTGTAATTAATTAGTAATATTTACTTAATTCATACTTACCTGTTAGTCGTCGGGGAAAAAACCGTGGGGGAAGATGTCGTGAATTAGTTCTGAAGTTGTGAGTAGTTTAGCTAGAATGCGGATGATATTTTTAGTCTGAAGTAGTGGCCAAAGCAATTGAAGTGCCTTAATAGTGGTTAGTTCTTCAGTGCCTACTGCAAACTCATAAGGTGTGTTTTGGATTAAGTTATATAATTTGTGGTTAAATTTAGTGTTGTGGATGAATTCTAAAATTGGGATTTCTATAGGTTGTAGGAACTCGTGCGGGATAAGGAAGGGTCGGGATTCTTCGGCGTTGAAGGTCTTGGTGATGGGGCAGAAAATGTACATTTGGGTTATGGGGTCATAATTACGAAGAATACCATGGAGGTTAGTGTCTTTAATACAATATGTGAAATTTAGGAAATACGGTGAAGTGTATTTTGAATTGATGAATTGGAAACGATGGTGTGATTGTCTAGAGGGTGTGTGGAGGTCAAAGTGATTTTGGATGAAACGATAGTAACTGTATGTATGTGTTTGTTTAGTGCGCAACATAATATCGTGTGAGCAGTGTAAATCTCTTTCGTGTGGTGCAAGGAAGTGAAAGGTTAGTGAAAAGATTTGGAAGCGTTCTTTAAAACTTTCGTATGCTTGTGTGTTTGTTAGTGCTTCTGAAATAATGTGATCAAACTTTCGGTCGAAGATGTTTAGTGTAAATACATATGGTGTCTTGATGAAAAATTTCTCGGTGATTTGTGGATTAGCGAAGCGATCGTCGTCTAAGAATTGATCTTGGTTAGCTCTAATGATGTTGTGATCGTAGTATTCTAGTGTATATTCATTAGCTCTAGGTGCAGTGTGTATTTTTAGTGATTTTTTATATCCAACGTAAGTAAACTGTCTAGCGGTTAGTGGTGTAGTTAGTTGATATAGCATGTCTTTGTTTCGGTCTATATCGATGGAAGTGCTGGATAAAGGTAAGCAAAGAGGGTTAGTGAAATGATAGTATGAGGTCCAAGAGAGAGTGGGCATTAAAACGTATTCATCTACAAAGTTGCGTGTTTCGTTATCGTCGTGAGGGGTGTTTAAAGTGTATTGTGGAAACGAGGGTAAGGTGATAGCTAAAAATTCTTTAGTGTTAGTATGCTGGGGGTGGTTGATGTATTCACGGGCTGTTCCTGGTTTTGCTGGGAAAGGATGGTTGGGGAATTTTCTTTTAAAAGTGCGGTAAGCTCTATTAGTGTTTAGTGAAGATATAGTGGATGTGGATGATGGTGTTAATGATTCAGTATAATTTGAAGAGGGTGTAGGGGGATTGGATGAAATTGTAATGGAGGAGATTTGGTTTATGGTCGGGGTGTTAAGGTGGTAGGGTTGCTGTTGGAGGGTAATAAAATTATCTAGCTCTGGGGAGATTCGGGGGGTGTCTGGAGAATGAGATGATTGGTCAGATTGGTATGAGGAGTAGGTTGGGGTAACTTGGGAAGCATAAGAGGGTGTCGGAGTGATTGGGTCAGGGTTATTGGACAATATGGGTTGAAAAGGAGGTTGAGAAAAATTAGAAGGGTTATGAAAATTATTGGATGGGGATGGTTCTGAGTCGGCAAATTCATCGGGGGTTTCACTATTCGGGTTATTTAGCTGTGAGATGGAGTATAAAACTGAAATATGTGAGTTAGTGTCGGAATTCATGCCTGATGTTACATTGCTAGATGGAAAATCGGGTGGCGGAAAAGCAAAAAGTGGTATGATTGGGATTGGAGAGGTAAGATTGGTTGGATGGGAATTTGATCGGTGTAGTGATCCAAGTTGGCGGCTCATCGTGGGCTAAAAAAATTAATATTTTGAGACTGAAAAGCGGTGGTATGGGGTTGTTCAATAATTTGTTCATAAGTATTATCATCTTGTGACTGGTGTGTCATTATATGTTGGACGGGACTTTGTGATGTATTGAGTCGAAAATTTGGATTATGTGTGATTGCTAAGTTTCGAAAATTTCGTGGGACTAGGGATAGTGGATGGTTATTTGGTAGGGCTGGTAATTGTGGTGCCGTTGGCGTTATGTCTACATTGTTATGTTCTTCGTCGTATGTATTTTGTCGTGTTGTTATTTTTGTGTTATATTCTTTTATTTGTGCGTCTAAAAGAATTTTGTTTATAGATGTAGAAAAGATTCCAAAAAATCCTGCAAATAGTATGCGT